CCCCCCCCTCCCCCTTTTAAAAGAACTCTATTTGAAACCGAGTTGTAAACAATATTCTCATCTTTTATGTACACACACTACTTTTCTCCTACCTCTGTTGGAATGCCTATGTTCATTGTGTTGTGCTGTGAGGTTTTACACGATAGTACTGTAACTAAGGTACGCTCTAATTTGAATTAATTGCCACCGGGATGCCAAAAATAATTAATTAATGTTTGCTAAATGTATACGTCACTGCACAGAAAAAAATGTGTTACAGAAGGAAAGTAATGATTTCACATTAAAGGAACCTTTGATCATATACGCCTTTAAAACCACAGCTTTTGTCCAAAGTATTCGTTTAGATCGTTGTCACTTTCCTTTTCTTATTTTTCTATTTCTTCCTGAAATTTAGTTGATAGGAGCACACACAAAAAGTATTTACACTGCACATTCAAACCATGGAGAATAACAAGGTTCATGTCATGTCAATTTTAGTTGCAACAGCAGCGTCTTCTATCAATTATCTTTTTTAACCTGGCTTGTTCCAAAGCATTTCTCGTACCACAAATCAGTGATAAATCTTCTGTATATTGCTGATAAACTCCACAGTATGAACGCATTGTCAAATTCTAATTGCATGAAGATCTAAGAGAATGTGTTAGATTATTGAGTTGTGATTGTTTTCTTCATTTTTATTTTATTTATTGTAGTTTTGGTGGGTTTTTTCTTTTTTGTGTTGTTTTGTTTTTTGTTTTGTTTTCGTTTTGTTTTTTGGGGAGGTTGTTTTTGTTTTTAGTTGGATATTTCTATAAATGCATCAGTCAAAAAAGTATAAGGACACATTATCTGAAGAATAACTCAATTAGTTAATTGAATATGAATGTTTACACTAACTTAATTGATTTAATGTAGCTTAATGAACCATCAACAGAACTGAACTGAATAATAACCTTTTTAAGTGAATAGATAAAATAATTACGGATAGATGTAAATAAATACAAAAATAAAATTGGTGAACAGGGGAATAGACAAACGAATTAAAGAATCAATTAATTGAATTAACAGGTAAATAAATTAATAATAAATAATAGATAAGTCAACAAAATCAATGACTAATTCACGCATGCACTATTCAATCAACGAATTAACGGGTTAATTAATTCTCTATCTAAAATAGGATAAATGAAAGAAGGGTAGTTTATTTACCAGTTGAGGCGAGACGCAAGACTGCAGTAGATCTAGTGCTCGTTCCGACAGGATCCGTGGATAGCGGGGCAACAGACCTTGGGTCAAGAGCTGCTATCTAGGCTAGATGGTATTATGCCATGCCTGTAATGACCTAATATGGGAAATGTTGAAGATTCCTCTAAGTGTCGCTGTGAGCTCAAGGACTCAGTCAACACGCTCGACGCTCTAGGTACATGGAGAAGTCAGTCACCCAAATTCAGGCCATCCGTCCACTTACTTGTTACTTTGTAGTGTAGAGGGGAGTGTGAGTCTCTCGGTGCGCGTGTATTATTTGCGCACGTGTGTCTGTGAGTGCGTGTACGTGTGTGTGTGTGTGTGTGTGTGTGTGCATGTGTGTGTGTGTGTGTGTGTGTGTGTGTGTGTGTGTGTGTGTTAGAATCTGTATATTGGTGCGCGTGTATGTTCGTGTGCTTCTGATAGTGCACGTATGTTAGTGTGCGTTTGTCAGTGTGTTTCTGTCAGTGCGCGTAGGTTAATGTGCGTTTGTCAGTGTGTTTCTGTCAGTGCGCGTATGTTAATGTGCGTTTGTTAGTGTGTTTCTGTTAGTGCGCGTATGTAGGTGCACGTGTAATTAGTGAGCGTGTGTTATTGTGTGGTTACGTATTACCTTGCACAGCTATGAGTTCTTATGTTTACTGTTATGTTATAAATAATTTGATTCTAGCCTTGTGTTGCCCACTCTGCTTTTGCTTTTTTTTTTTTTTTTTTTCTTTACTGAGGGAGACGCACATCAATATTTTGAAG